ATGAAATTTAAACGTAGCTGAAAGCACCAGATCAGGCGCCTAAACATGAAGAGCACAGTCAAAGCACTGAGAAAAAGCATAGCGTCATTGATCCAGATACTGCTTATACTTCAATTCTCTTCAGCAGACAGAATTAAACATGAAAATTTATGGATAAAGAATATTATCTAAATTCAAAATGTCATTCTTTGTCCAAATACAAGCTGGACTTTGGCTTTTACTTTGTAGAGGAAAAAATGCTTTGATTAACTGAAAAAAGGCTTGGAAATTAGGTGCACATTTCTGTCAGAAAACGTATTACTTTCACTGTGATTGTGCAAAAACCTTCTTCTGAAACCTGCAGACTTAGAGGTTCCAAAGGGGAGGTCCTGGCCAGGATTTCTCAGTCTGATCGGAGTTATATAAGAGGAAATGTTTGCCAAAACCAGTCTAACACCAAACAAGGGTCCTGCTCCACCTGGTGATATTTTAATGCTAACTTTATTTGCTTTGATTTTGTTTTTTTTCTGCAAAAATCCATTCTTTGGTTTCTGGGATTGTTCACATGTATTATGGGGATGCTCTTCATGTTTCCAAAGGGGGATGCATGTACAGTATCAAAGCTACAGGATGGATTATTTCAGAAGGAAAAGTGGCTTCAGGAAAGGCAGAGCGCTTCAGTAAAATAGACGGAAGCCTAATATTGATGTGACATTTTCATGTTGAGGGTATGCAAACTGTCTGGTGGTAAGTGAGATGTGACCGGGTGAAAGAACACGAAGTGATTTTTATCTCTGCTGTCCCACGTCGGGTCTGCGGGTTCTCAGAAATTCTCTGCAATGTTTGATATTGTCAAGCTGTGTCAACAGTCAGTATTGTCTAGCAGCAGGGGGGCAAAGCCTCCAGTGGTCTGAGGCTCCTTTTCTTGCTTCCTCGCTCTAACATGTACCTGCTTCCAGCCGTCCGAATGAAGGTTTCCTTTGCTAATTGGATAAATCAAGTGCTTTATATCCTTTGCATAAAAGACAGGATGACAATAAGTGATTTTTATTTGCTAAATGCAGAATAATGATAATTTGATTGATATTTTTTTCTTCTTGTTGAGATGTTTGTTCCACTATTTCCACATAATGTTCTTTCTTCACCAGAGGTTTATTTTGTGCATCAGTCCCTCCTAAAGCAAAAAGGATAAGCATCACAATCTGAACATTTCTTCCATGGCTCACCTCTTTCAGAGTCCCATCCAATAGTTAAGATCATTTCCCTGAAAACATGATTATTCTTACCTGTTGTGTTGATTTTGGAATAATGGCTTCCTTTTCTCTACTAGATTGTTTACAGGAATAGATTTGAGTTCAGTAAGTAACAATTATTACTCTGTTTAAAAATGCTTTGATCAGGAGCCCTGTAATGGAATTTTTTAACAAAGAAACTGGAAGTTAGAAGAGTTTTTATCTTTAAATTAAGTTGAAAGTGAAAGAATTTAAAGCAGCCTCAATGATCTGAAATTGTTTTACTTGATTTTTTTTTTTATGTAACTGTCATTTAATTTAATGTATCTATGTTTCCTATGTAGCTTTGCTGCCTCTTGGCCAGGACTCCCTTGAAAAAGAGGTTTTTAATGTCAATGGGATTTTATTTCCTGGTTAAATAAATGTTAAATGAAAAAAATGGACATCTGATCAGGAAATCCCTTAAATCAGAATCAGAGTTACTGTATTAATTTTGTGGATGAAATAATTTTCTTGCACTGCAACCGTTTACAAAAGAGAGAAAAATAAGATTGTAATTACAAATAAGACATAAGAATAGAATAAGATGGGGATCATATATAACCTTTGGGAGATTTTTTATATGGAGTTAATTTTCTTTCATTAATGCTGCAAGCAAAGACAAATTTTTCTTAGGTGGAGATTTATAAACAAATGCAATCCATAAAAAACCTTAATAAAAAAAAAAAAATTAGGGTAACAGTTTTTTTTTCATAATAATTTTTTTTAATCTCTCTTTTTTTTTTTTTTTAAACCTTTAGCAAAATTGCATATCAGATTGCATTTTATGAATTAAATTCTTAGAAAAGAAAATGATATGTAAAATCCAATTTGAAAAAAATCCAACGTATAAAACTTTACATATATAAAATATTAAAGAAACTGGAAAAAAATCTAGTCTTTCAAAATAAAGTTTCATTTCTGGGTTGCAGTTTTTAAACATTTCCATTTACAAAAGGTGTTCTTTGCTGGCAACAATAATGGAACCTAATTCTCTCCATAACTATAAATCACTTTTTTCTTTTGTTTTCTTATGGTGAATCTAACTGTTGGGTTTTACTGCTTTCTTTTTTTTCCTCTTACCGTATGTTTTTTTTATTTACCTTTGAAACTTTGTCCACTTCTCTGGGCTGTAGGGGCTTTGGGAATAAAGGATCATTTATTGATCTCAGTGACTTTAATCCTAGGTTTTATATATGGTTTCCCGTTATAAGAGTGGCTTAGAGAAATGTCCCCTTTTTTCTGGTGATCATTGTTCTGCAAAGGAAGTCATGAAGGATTTGTTTACACCTCTTTCAACACTCTGATCTCTGCCATCAGCGTCTAAACTCATACAGTTCAGTTAAACTTTTCCAGATCTGCCTGTTTCTGTGCATCTCCTGCCATAACCCCTCGGGTCACTTCAGTTTAAACTCACTGGTCACAGGGATCCCATGACACAGCCTGTTTCTCTCTCGGGTCGTATTAACCTTGCTTTCTGACGTCTTCCTCGTTGACCATTATCCCCCCCTGTGTGGATTCGTTGCCACAGGTCACAGAGCTGGCAGGCTACACCGCAAGAGTCCACAACATGTTTGTGGTGTTCGAGGACGTCCAGAGGGGGATCTACAAGCGCTCCTCTCTCTCTGCCACGGCGGGGACGGCACTGAAGAGCAAACCTGGGATGCACATAGACGGGCCGCTGGAGATTAAAGGTGGGTTAGTCCCACTGGATGTGCAAATATCAACTCTGAGGGGACTTTGTCTGCGTTTCTCACTGGATAAAACACAGCTACACCCACAAGGAATATTGATTTTTTTTTCTGTCTGTTACGACTCACGTTTTATTTGATCCCATGCAGATCTAGAGAAGTAGAAAGTGCTAATAATCTTTATAATTATTAAACTCTAATGTCACAGGATGGCCATAGCATGAAGGATGAAACTACATCTTAAATTGAAGCTTTTTACTTGATATTTGAGGAATCTTTTTTATATCTTTTTTATAAGTGATGTGAATCAAAATTAAATGACAGAAATATAATTAAACCCTCTTTCCAATCCATTAATCCATATCTGGGCTCCTCTAAACTTCAGTTACCACATCACTATTCTGCATTGATGCTAGTGCTGTGTGAAGAAAACTCAAAATAAACAATTTTCAGTTAATATGTAGTCATTGGAAACTAAAATGAAGAAATCTACCTCTGATATTTTTTTTTATCTATAATTAACTCTAACCTTTCAGATTTGAAGGGAGAGCAATACTTCTAACTGCTAACAGGAAGGCTGATGTTTCCTGCTAAAGTTGCTATGGTTTTCCTAAAGATCTCACACCTGACATGGGCTCAGCTTGATTCGGAAATTTTTTTTAAGCTTTTAGAGTCAGAGTTACATCTAAATTATCTTGAAAATTAGCACTAAGACATATTTTTCAGCAAAAAACTACAGAAACTGACATGCAAATGTTTTACAATTCTCTCCAACATTTTTTATGTCCCCTCTTTTTATCTGCTTCAACTTTAGATGCAAAATAGAACTCTGAAACAGTTCTTTCCAATAATTAGAGATGGGAAATCTTTAAAAACTTCAGAGTTTATCTTTTTTGTCTCTGGTTTCGCTCTGCAGGCGAAGTGATCGACGTGGACCAGGGCATCGTGTGTGAAAACGTCCCAATCATCACACCGAATGGAGACGTCGTGGTGTCGTGCCTCAACCTAAAGGTGAGGTACACACAATTTTTTTTCCCATGCTGTAGTCCTTAAATTACTCTCCACCTGATTGGCCGGTTCCACCGTTATCCTTAATACCTCACATCAGCTCCATGAGGACAGTCTAGATGCTGCTTATTAGTATTTCCAGAAAATCCCTGTAGTCTCGTTAGAAAAGAGATTTCTCCTTTGGGTGTCAACGTGTTGTTCCTCTTTGGATGATGACAAGTTTCAAATTGTGCTTTATGCATTTTGTCTTTTTTTTTTTTTCAATCAATCAGTTATTTTGTTCTTTAAAAAAAAAAAAAAAACTGTGATCTCTGAATGTGGGTAACTGAGTTATTAGATGTATTTTGTGAAACTTTGAGAAAAGCCGGGGATTTTATCGCTCTTGATACCAGCAGTAATTCATTCATTGCATAAAGAAAAGTGCAGAAACAAGTAAAAAAAAAAATTTCTATATGAAATTAATGAAACAATTGTATGGAAATATATATATTTTTTTCTGTCTTTGTGTTTAAATATTATTTCTCCTTCCTTCTCTACTTTACCGTATTTTCACGACTATAAGGCGCACTTAAACGTCTTTTTTTCTCCTCAAAATGTGCGGTGCGCCCTATGGTGCGGTGCGCCCTATGTGTGTTGTAACTGCGACTTTTGAGACCACCTCATTGAGGAGATGATGAAAGAGTGGCTGAATGTAAGGAGACCAGGTGTTTTTTTTCCACTCATCACCATTAATCTGTGACTCCATGCGTGCCCATCTCACAGCTGATGTGAAAAACATCCCTATAGTCCGGTGCGCCTTATGTGTGTGTTAAATACAGAAATGGGACACATAACTGAGAGTGCGCCTTTTAGTCCGGTGCGCCTTATGGTCGTGAAAATACGGTACTTCCTCTTTTGTCTTCCTTGTACCCTTATTTGTGTTTTTCCTTCCTTCCTTCCTTCCTTCCTTCCTTCCTTCCTTCCTTCCTTCCTTTTTTTCTTTCTTCCATAAATATAAAAGTGAGCCTTTTTATTGCAGTATTCATTAAAGCGCCTTAGCCTACAGACCTCTTGTGAAAGAAAGGGGGCCAGTGATATGAAAGGCCAGCTAAAGGCTTATACTTCACAATTGTTATCAATAATCTGCAGAGTCAGGAGCTAAACACCTCAAAACTCTATGCGGCCTCTAGATTAGCTCAGGTACAGTATGTACAGTGTGTAGATAACAGTTGTATGCAAGGGTTATATTAGCTGTTGCAACGCAGGTCGCTGGTATAAAGTACGCCGCCACTGGACTCTGGAGCGGTGGAGACGAGTTTTTTTGAGGGACAAACCATGCTTCTCTATCAGACCCTCTAGATGACATGTGTGGGTTTCAGCGGTTAGCAGGATTACAGCCTATAAGTCTACCTTGAAGGAGTTTCTAGATGCATCAGTGTGTAAAAACACAGCTAAATAATGAGTTTCTCCCTCTCCCCCCCGATTCAGGTAGAAGAAGGCATGCACCTGCTGATCACGGGCCCAAACGGATGTGGAAAGAGCTCCCTGTTCAGGATCCTCAGCGGACTGTGGCCCGTCTACGGCGGCCGCCTGCACAAACCGTCCCCCGAACACATGTTTTACATCCCTCAGAGGTATCGGATCCGCCTCAGCAGAGACAGAGGTTTATACCTGGTGGTGCTGAACCTCAACAGTAATCTAATACCTGGTAACAGGACCTGTTGAACTTTGAAGAGGAATAATTCGTCTTTTACTACAGTATAAGCAGGCGGCTGCAGAAATCGATTAGAAACGTCTTCATATGTTTCTATATTTCTGCTGTATTTGCTTTATAGAAAAGCTTTTACATCTTATTTTCAATCATTTTTGGGCAGTATTGGGTAAATTCTATAAAACTGGTGTATTTCCCTTAAACTATATTTTTTTAAAGACTTTTTTTATTCAGTTTTTGATTGGGGTACAGCTAAGCTACACACATAGATAATAATAATGACAGTAATCTTCTAAAATAAGTTGCCTGCTCAGCACCAATGCAATCGTACCCAAAGCAGAGGAGAGGTGAACACTCCCTCCTGCAGAGCAGTGAATATTTTATAGTAAAGGCGAGACGGCCACCTGGTAGCTGAAAGAGAAGCTGTTACGTTATATACAATAGAAACAGTAGCAGCTAAAGGGATCAGCTCTATGTATATACACACACACGCATGATTTGGAGTCTGTAGAGAACAAAGAAACATTCGTTAAGCACCAATTGAGTGTATCTGTGTGTGTCTCTCCAGGCCATACATGTCAATGGGTTCGCTTCGAGATCAGGTGATCTACCCAGACTCAGTGGAGGACATGGCTGTCAGAGGGCTGAGCGACAAGGATCTGGAGATCATCCTGGACATCGTCAACCTGAATCATATCGTCACCAGAGAAGGAGGTAAGAGAACAAAGGGGGCCCAAGAAAGAGGACTCTGTTTTTAAACTGATTTGTTAATTGAGATTTAAAGGACGACTGGAGTCCTAAAGAGCTTGTGACCTAATAGTGGCCTTGTGGTTAGGTTCTGAGTTCAACTCCCACTCCCACAGACTGCCACTCTGGGTATCTGAGCAAAACCCTTAACCCCACACTGCCCCCGCACGATGGCAGCCCCCTGCTCCCCAAAGGGAGGGGTTAAAGTGACAATATAATGACAATAAAGTTGACTTCTGTTCTATTAATCCAGACTGGCAGAGGTTATTTCTGCAAACAATATGGTGGTGAGGCTTTTAAGTATTTTATTGTTGTCCAACTTGTTCGGATTATTCTTTATTAATCATGTGTATTAACTATCTGTAAAGCAGAGTAGATATAGTTCATGGCCTTCCTTCATATAGTGCATCACCGTGTAATTACAGAGGCGGGCAGAAACTCCAACTTGTTACAGAAGCTAGTGTCCTCTGAAGGCGTCTTTGCCTCTGAGCTTCACTTCCGGTTCTTTTCTTGTGAGCAATCTGCTTAATTTAACTACCGTAAATCCTCTAATATTGGTCTGTATTCCATTAGCAGCCTAGACTCTAATAATGGCCGATCTCGCTGTCGGCGGAGGTAAATAACGGCCGGACTCGTTTACAGGCCGGGGCTATAATTAGAACCAATGATCTTCCTGGGCAGTCCTCAACAACTGATAGTAACATAAAAGTACCACAGTGGGGGCAATGTTTGCTAACGAATCCAAGCCATTAGGATGGGAAGTCCCATCCTTACATAGAGATCGTACTGGCCTTACACAGTCGTTCCTTACATGGTCTGGTGGTAACCAGGCAGCGTTAAAATGACAGATTTTCGTTTGCCTTCATTGTTCTGAATTTCCTTTGAAATATATTATAGTGGTAGCCTACTTCCACTTAGCCTGCCTCAAATAAAATTTCGCTGTGATGGCAGAAGAGTTTCCATTAATTTTTTTTTTTACTTTGTTTCGCAAGTCAGTTTGGCCAAGATTCCATTCTGTGTCTTTTTTTTTCTTTTCGTATTGCCGTGCAGAAAAATTGCAGCTGCTGGAAGATGTCTGAATAATGTTCTGCATACCATTATGGTAACTGTACTTTTTCAATAAATGAACCTAATATTTTATAGGTTCAAAGAGACACAAAATTTCGTTTTTATTCATTCCACTGGTAGTCTATTTTGGTCAAATAGAAATGGAGGCCTTCCTCTAATTCTGGCCTCCTTCCAATAATGGCCTGGACCAAGATATACCTGAGTGAAATAAAGGCCCCGTCCTATATTAGAGGATTTACGGTACTTATAGCTTGAGACTTAAATACTACATTTTAAAAAGGACTAAGAAGAGGAGTAAAAGTTTAACAGAATGTATTCCAAAACCGATCGGCTCAGAACAGAGAAATTGCGGCTAGTCAGCACAGCTGTGGGCTCAAGTCGTCAGAACTAGACGCCATCAAAAAATCAAGCCCCAAACAAGGCCATCTCCTGCTTCTTATACCTCAGTCTATGTGTTGCATCAGGTGGATGCTGAGCTGTATTTTTCAGTTCCTCACAAGACACGTCATCAACTCTGACCTCCATGGCTGGATCTACGAGTCAGGATTACAGATATGCTATTCTTTATCAACACCCCAGGATATACCGTTATCCTGTGCCTTTGTAATCTCTCCAACAAACTTGTCACTGAGGTGATAAAGTTCCTGGAGGCAGGCAGCTATGGATCAGTTTGTCCCATTCAATGATATGTAATCCTGCTTTACATTCTGATGAAATATGAGTAATTATCACCAACACTGTGCCCCTAGATAATGTTCACTAGTGTTGCATAACCACATGTCTTACCAGCACTCTAGGAATAGATTAGAAAAACTACTTAATGACAACAGGCAACTATTCTGTTTTTGTTTTGATTTTTGAAATGAATCTACCTTGGACCTATGTAAAAGGTGTTGAACATTACATTCTACAAAAGAAAGTACAAACTTGTAAATTTGCTACACATCTGTAGTTGTGTTGCATTTCTATGTCCGGCTTGGATAACTGGCTTTGATAGATTGCTTTGTAGTGTTTGTTTAACTTAGAAAATATAGGACAATATTATTACCATTAAGCAGCACAAGAAAACATCTGAATCAAGCTGAAAAGTAGTGGAAAAGTTTATTAAAAGTAGAGACTTGTTAGCTCATTCCCAGACGTTTTTCTCTTGTTAAGGCTGGGATGCTGAGCTAGACTGGAAGGATGTTCTGTCTGGAGGAGAGAAGCAGAGGATGGGCATGGCTCGCATGTTCTATCACAAGTAAGGCCCCACTGACTTCTTCTAATCACATTTTCACTCTGAGATTTCTTGAAGAATGGACTATGAGCTGCTGGTGCATGAAAACTATCAGAAATCAAATGAAAACTTCTGTCAGTTTATCTGCATGGATTCCTTGAAAGCTCAAATGTACCGTTTTTTTTTATTTGTTTTTACCATTTTTTTCTCTGTTTCTTGGAGGTAAATTATTACATGAAGTATGGATCGTTTCTGAAAATGTTTAAAACTCTCATGTTCAGATGAAGCCAATCCAACATATACCAGTTTTTCAACATATGGAATGGCAACATTTATGTTTTTTTCTTGAACTTTATAATGGTATTCCCTAAGCGGCCGACGAAAAATAGTTTGCATAGTGAATGATTATTTCAAATCCTAAAAATTAACCAGTAGATCTAAGACCTAAAGACTATGAATAAATAAAACAACATCAACTGTTCAGTAATACTCAGCAATAACTGATGCGATTTCCCCTCGTTGCATGCTAGGCCTAAATACGCCCTGTTGGATGAGTGCACCAGCGCTGTTAGCATCGACGTAGAAGGAAAGATTTTCCAGGCGGCCAAGGATGCCGGAATCTCCCTTCTCTCCATCACGCACCGACCCTCCCTGTGGTAAGACCTGATAGCAATGCTGCTTAGCTCAACTCATATGGATCAACCCGCCATATTATGAGTGGCAAGATCTCTATGCAAACAAGAAAGCTTGGTATTAATCATTTAACTTGTAATAACATTATTTTAGTGCTAATTGAAAATATATTTTTTTAAAAGAAAAATCAAATAATTAAAAATGATATGGTTTTTATATACATTTACTATTCCATACTAAACCGTATATGTATGGAATAATATGTAGACAGATTCACAAAGAATGATTAGTAGTCTTTTATGGAAAGAATTTGTTAGTAAATTTAAATTTAGGTTATTTTTTAACCCCTCTTACAATTTCCACTTTTTGAAGGAGCCTTTGACTGCATGTTGTTGGACAGAATGTGGGGAATTAGGACACTATACACACATATTCTGGGATGGGATCCTAAAATATTGAATGTGAGAAATTAAATCCTTTGTTTTATTTATTGCGGTATATGTCAAGTCCTAAAGGATTTCATAGCATCAAGATATACGAATTTTGTTTGTGGTTGCAAACAAAAAAAATAAATAAATAATTACAGTGAATTGGAAAGATTTGAATACACCAATAATGATAGAATATTAATAGAATTATGATTAAATAATAGAAGCATATATCTGTATTCTGCAAATAAATACTGAGATTTTTGATTAAAGGTGGCAAAAGATTGTATAGCTTTAGCAGTTTGATAAAAAAGCAGTAATTGTTTGTTTAAAACTTAAAAACACACACCTTTAAACACAGCGTTTAAAAGATACAGAATCAGTTGTTTTGTCGTTGTTTTTTTACTGATTTAATGTTTTTACATTATTATTTAGATATTCATTCAATATAAAGAATTTTCAATCTCTAACGATATAAAAGCTTGAAAAAAAACATTTTAAAATATAAATAAATTTAATATTTCAGCAAATATTCCAAAAAATGTCATCAAGCTTTTAGAATCATAATTAATAAACAGCGTTTAGCTGTGCTTCTGCATGGATCTTTAACCCTTAAAGGGTTCTTTTAAATGTGATTATTGGTTATTTATCATTTTCTTAGTAGAGTAAAATCACAAAATATATTTTTGGATATTGTTTGGGGTTTATTTTGGGTTCCGTGCCACAATGTGCTCTTTAAAATATCATCTATTTTTTTTTTTTTTGTCACACTACCATGTTTAACATTAGAGGATAACCCAATTAAATACTTTGTTTGGATAGTGTAAACTGTTAAATGCGACAGAAATGACTATAAAATCTCTCTCTATATCAGGAAGTACCACACCCACCTGCTGCAGTTCGATGGGGAGGGGGGCTGGCGCTTCGAGCAGCTGGATTCGGCGACCCGCCTCTCTCTGACTGAGGAGAAGCAGCGGCTGGAGGCCCAGCTGGCCGGCATTCCCGAGATGCAGAGTCGCCTCAACGAGCTCTGCAAAATCCTTGGAGACGACTCCGTCCTCAAAACAGCAGAGGAGTGAAAGCCGGGGGGTGGGGTTTAGGCGGCCCAGAGAGAAAAAGGAGAAAAAGAAATCTAACAGCTTTGTGATAGCCTTTTCCATTTTTTTATGTTTGAAATTTTGCACCAAGCAAGCTTTTACAGACGACAAGCCCATTTTTCAGTCCTGCTGTCTCTACCTTTATCGGTTCAGTCCAATGCTGCAGCCTGAGGGGTTGGATCCTAATAGCACTTTAGATTTCATTTTGAGGGCTTCATCTGCTTGTCATAGTAGTTCATATGGAAATATGGTATCAGCTGATGTGATTTTTGGAGTTTTTTTCTTTTCTTTTACCAGAAGCAGTATTCAAGTAGACAGCAAAGATGGCTGTCGCTCCGTTTTTACCTCCAGTTCCGCAGGTTCTTTATCAGTACTGGAAATAATCAGATTCAAGCTTTCCATTTTTCATGCTGCCTGTTGGTCACTTTTCTCAGGCCCTTCGTCTAACAGCTAATAAGATTTCTCACGCAGACTCCATTGTCAGTGATTAGTGGCACAGATCTGGCTCCCCCTGAGTTTCTGCTTTATTGAGCAAATACAAGAAAGCTGAAGAGAGCAGGGGTGAGCAGACGCTTTGTTTTCTCTCAGTTAGGGTTTGTATTTTAATGGCTGCTCAGATGATGCAGCCATCAGATTATAGTTCTGCTGTTGGTTGAAGCTCAGATTTAACGGTGAGGATTCCTAGCTGGAACCATTTTAACATGAATGTTGACCTCGATCATCCTTTAGCTGTATAACTGAGGGTTATTTTCCTCTCTGCTGATAGCGCCACCAGCAGGTGCAAGGTGGAGCTTACACCACGTGTAGTTTTGCATTCAGATAATATCATATCTACTTGCTGTCTTTGAACGGGACTCGTTGCGACTTTTCCCTTGAGGCCTGTAGAAGGTCACCCATGCTGAACTCATAACCTTAACCTTGGTGATATACAGTGCTTTTTTCCCATGCACTATTGATCCTTATAGCTGTTTTTAATGAGCTGTCATGAATAGAAAGGCTGTATTTTGGGACCGTTTGATACAAGCATGTATTGTAGTCCAGACGTCCATGATGATCAGATCGGTTGCTGTGAAACTATTGATTCGTGATGTAAACTCCAGTTTGCTCCAGGAGGTAGAACCACCCTGATCCTTTTGTTTGTCGTCACTTTTTAAGAAAAAATAGGGTTCAAACCTGTGTACGTGTTTGCTACATCCTGCGAGAATCAAATCAGGAGCAGCAAACTTATGCCTTATGAAAATATGTATTCTAGTGATCCTAAAATGTTACCTCAGCACATCCTGTGAATACCTGATTTTATGACGATGCTTAAAGCATGTTTTTTTTTGTTAGTTTTTTTTAATGTAATGGCTTCTTTGAAACCACTGGTACATACAAACATTTGTCATGCTATTATTTGCTGCCCCGCCCCCACCTGCTGCTGCGCACCTCCAGTCAGCTGGCTGAAAAAAGGCAACCACACTATTTTGGGTCACAAGATACATTCTGCTGTCTTAAAAAGTTCTAAATATTATTTAGCTCAACTTTTGACAGCAAGGTGTCAAACTTAAAATAAACATATTTAATAGATCTTATTTTAAAATCACTTTAAGAAGGATTTGATTGCAGGATTTTTTTAGCAGTGGGAGTCATTATTTTTAAATTAATGGTTTTTATCTTCTAATTTTTAATCTTTACATTAGTAATTTCTGTTTATATGCAACGGGACGGTGTGAGGTCATCACACTGTGAGAATCTCCAGTCAGCCCATGCCTAGTTGCAGAGAATTAAAACTGACAATCACCCCAGAATGTAAACAGACGCTGCTGATTTTTAGGGGAAACTCCTTTTGATATGAAGCGTCTTGACCTGGCATTGTGAGATTTCTTATTGAACTGAGCAGAAACCTTAAAACCTTCAGTCGTCGCTTTTAGGGGATGATTACAAGCTTTAGATGAGCCGGGTGGGGGTTTGAATTCTGACATTTTTCCCATAAAGCTGAATGAAAAGCAAAAAAAACAAAAAATGCCACGGAAATGGTAGATAGCTACTAATATTTTGAATAATGGTGATGACATGTTATATGAAAAAAGCACCTCTTTGGGAACTGAACTTCACTTTTTGTTTTAAGACCAGACTTTGTTGACAGGAGATCCGCGATCCACCGAATGACACAAAGTCTGCCGAGCGACACTTGAGCATGAGGGCAGCTCTAAGTGGTACTCGGGTTTTTCCTGATGTTACAGTTTCAGTTATTAAAGGAGAAAAAAGAAAGAATCTTCTTGTTGACTGGATGAGCAGCATATGATGGAGTGCCCTCTTTCTGAAAAGATACGATTGTTTTAAATCATATTTCACATGTGAGCTAATGAAGAAGATGATAGTGTGGTTCTTTGACCCATTTTTCCCAATAAAAAGCCTTGATACTAAACTATTGTTGAGTGAAATTACTTACTTTCTTCTCAGTGTAACAAAAGGTTGACCATCCCAATACTCCCACAGAGAGCCAACATGCTAACCCGGACTTTATCAACCTCTCCTCTTTTTAAATTAGACCTAATCTCCATTGCCTAGATTTCACTACAACTGCGTGAATGAAAGTATTTAAGATTGGGACACAGCTAACCCCCCTAAAAATCCCACATCTCCCCACAGCCTCCCTCATGACCCTAATCCCACCACTGAAACAGCATCTTCCAGAAGCTGCAGAGCCCCATCACGTCCTAACTTTCTCCCTCAACATATCAAAAAAGTGAACATGTCAAAGATAGTGAACATATTAAAGATGGTGACCATGTCAAAGATAGTGAACATATCAAAGACGGTTAACATATCAAAGATGGTGACCATATCAAAGATGGTGAACATGTCAAAGATGGTGATCATGTCAAAGATAGTGAACATGTCAAAGATGGTGATCATGTCAAAGATA